CAGGGTGATATCTTTTTTTTTGTGGACTGTACACTGAATTTTGAAAGCTTTATAAGCATTATCTTTTTAAGCAGTGTTTGTAATGCTTGTGCAATAAAGGAAATAAACCCTGTTTTCATTGAAGCGAAACGTGATGCGCACTTACATTTAAGACAATTTATAAATCAAAGTAAGACATTAAATAATATTTCTGCAAATAAATTCATTATATCTGCATCACTTTTTCGAAATCGAAATTACAAATATATAAACATTCATTATTTAATCGTCAAGTAATAACCCTGTGCATCATTATCTAAAAACTGCAAATGAAACTTCTTAATTAATAATTAGCATTTCATTAAAATTTATTAAAAACACGCATTATATTAAGTTTACAGGATAAACATGTTAGCAATAATCTATAAAAAAATACGATATTTCAAAGTATGCAATACTTTCGACGACTTTGCTGGCGATATTCAAAACTGGTATTTAATTACTAATTAAATTATTAATTTACTCACACTACAAAAATCACCCTCTGAGATCGTTTGGCTGAAATCTTATAAAACTAAATAACTCTTATTTTATTGCATTTACAACACGATAAAACTTATTAACTACAGATTAATGTTTATTTTTAAGTAGGAAATAAAACTTAAGTTAATAATAATTTAACTGAAAAATAAAGTTAAATATAAATTTTAGAAACCGCATCATGCTTCTTATTATAATAAATTCTAGATTTCAACCGCTGATTAGAAGAATAAAAAGCTAACGGATTTAGCAAATTAGGCATATGAATTTGTAAGCTTTATACACCTTACAGATCTTTTATAATCGTTTCCATAATTTCATTAAAAGAACACAATGTAAGGATTTTAAAATTTTTCAGTTTCTTTGCTCATAAAAATCAAGAATTAAATATTTTATATGTACTTAACTCAAGACTGCATGCTATAAATAATGTAATACCTTCGACAACCAGAGTTGCTGTAGCCGAATCATTTCCAAATGCGTTTCTAGCAAAGCACGAGTAATTTCCGGCATCATCTAAACTGACTGGCTCTATAGTGAGAATGCTGGCATCTTTCAGATTTGAAACTTCAATCTTGGAAGAATCGTGACTAACTTCTTTGTGATTTTTAAACCACGAAAACTTTATAGGAGTTGCACCTCCACTCATTAAACAGGCAACAGAAGCTTTGCCTCCCATATAAATCATTGGAGCAAAATACATTGGAGTTATTTTTGGTGATTCTAAAATAAACAAATCATAAAAAAATGAACAGGTATTTTTTTTTCTTTGAGTAAATTTAAACACAAATTCTTTATATTTCACAAATGCATTAGATTTGAATTTAAAAAATCTATTAATGTAACTAAAGTCTATTCACATTGCTGATATATTTTTCTTTAAATGTATGCTTGGATTTTTTAAAAATCTATGCATAACATACTCAGCATAAAATAGTTAAGAAACAGTTTTAAATAAAAGAACATAAAATTCCGGAATTTTATCGTAGTTATATCATAATACTGTTATTTACAATCCAATATTATAATCTATAAAATAAACAGTGCCTTTTACTTCAAATTATATAAATGCTAATTATTGAATTAATTATAAAAATCACAAAAGCATCTACTTTTAAAAGAAGATATTTTTTTAAACATTTGTAAAACAGTTGACATTATATTTTGCTTATAAAATTAATTCTTTATGCATACAACATAAAGTAGGCTTAGGAACTTACCTTTACAGTTTGCTGCTCTGCAATCGAAAACCAAGAGAAAACAAATACTGTATAAATATTTCTGCTTCATAATAAGAGATCTGTCCTATCACATTCAAATGTTGAAGAACTTCAAGAATTGCCGTGATGCTATAGCTGTTATATTTACATCTTAATTCTAAAACAATTCGAATTAGTACACATTCGTAAAAATTAGAGATACTAGCGAAACAGATAGCTAGCGCCACATAACGGATAATAAATAAACTAAAGTGTTAATTCCCCACAAGGATTATATTTCATACATAATAACAGGAAATTATGAGGAAAATGAGTTCATTAAAGTAAACTTTGCATATTGAAAAATGTACACACATATTCATTTATATAAAACTTTGAAAACAGCTGCTTCTTACTGCAGTTCGACATTCTAAAAAATGATTCTATAAAAGGGAACAAAACCTATATTTATGCATATGAAAGAAGACACAAGCATGTATACAACTGTTCGAAAGGGAGTGTTCGGATTATTGTTGATTTATAAGAAGCCCCCCTTATCGTCAAAAAATAACTGCATAAATAATTAAAAAATATGGTTGTTTACATAAAATGCATAAATGCCTACAGCAAACAAAATTTAAATAGCATCGTTGATCAAAGGGCATTGCCTTTCTCACATCATCTTACCGTGGACTACAACTTTTGCTGATTTTTCAAGATGCTCACCAACACCGTTTTGTACTCTGCAAGTATAAGTACCGGCATCACTTATTTTCGTCTCTTTAAAATGGAGACGGCCATCCACTGAGTTGATTATCATCCTTTTCACGTTATTATTTTCTGGAAAAATAAAAATAAAATTATTTAATTATTTGAGATTTGTGAGTTACATTTTGATATTATTATAGATAGACCTATATATATGATTTTGTCTTAAAAAGTATGTGTCCGAAAGAAATGTCCTACGTAGCAGAATAGGAAAACGTTTTCCTTTTTTATTTTTATTAAATAGCTACTTTTAGTTTAAGAAAGATGCATTGAAATAAGCATATTACTGGATTTACCATGCAGGATAGTTTATATATAGACAAGTAATACTGACACTGTTTAGACATAACTGAAATCACCCAATAGGAAACAAACAGTTAACAAACATTCCGTTTCTTTGAAAATTCAATTTGATGTACTTTACTTACATTTGAACTAAACATATTGAAATTAACTTCTTAACAAATAGGAAGCTCTGTCTAAGTTTTACATAATTTATCGATTTTTTTTATCATTTCACGAAAAGTATGCACAATTTAGAAATAAAACGAAGATAAATTATGTCTTTTAACTAAATTTTTACAACTGATAAAGCATTTTTCAAAAACATGTAAAATCGAATTTGCAATCATGTGTAGAATTAAAATATTCTCAGCTGTAACATAAAACTATTAGTTTTACTTAGACAATCGCAAAGGAGCACAAAATATTATTTTACATCGAAAATTTGGATTAAAAATAAATTTATATAATGTGCACCTGTGTAAATAGTAAATATATATATACAGTGCACCAAAAATAACGAAACACTCTGAGTCAGTTCTCAATTATACCGACGCTATTACAAAATAAAATACAAAAACAGTTTAAACTTTTCCTTCAATGGATTATCATTATTGACCCTCAAAATATGGCCTTGTTTAAAAAAGATTTCGAAGGTTTGGATCTTTTTCGTCTTAGCTCGAGATCTTTTAAGCAAATCATAAATCTTTAACACACAGATAATTCTGTGCAGGAAGGAACTTTTGTAATTTTATATTATTTTTAATTATTTTATTTAATAACAATTGGAAAAAAACATTCAATTGTAAGGTACATCAATTTTTACAACATTTTAAGGAATGTAATTTTATAAGGTAAGATGCAAAATGTGAACAAAATTGGTCGAATAGTTCCTAAGAAATCGAATTTTAAGTGCACGACTTCTTTAAAATTCTATTTTTCAGGAACTATTTGGCCAATTTCATCCAATTTGTATCCTCCGTTATAAAATTACATTGTTTGAAATGATGTAAAAATTTGTATTGCAACTCAATTTTTTGAAAAAAAAACTAATTATTATTAAAAATTTATTTTTGAATGGAATTGTCTTTGGATAAATGAATTATTTAATTGCATACAAAAAATTTTCAATTAGCTTTAAAAGTTTTCGAGTTATGAGAAAATTCGCAGAAAGTAAAATTAATATTTAGGGATTCCAACTTTCGTCCACTCTACAGTCCAAAATAATGAGACCATATTTCATAGAATGCAGTTATCCCCATAGTTTGAGAGTCAATAATGATAATCCATAGAAAAAATTTGTGTTTATTTGTTTATATTTTAAGTACGTTTCTATGTTTTATTTTGTAGCTTAAAATATCGTCTGTGCTAATTAATTAGTATAGCTGAGGTCCCCCTCAACCGATTAAGATCTAATCCTAGTACGCGAAAATCCATCATTAGATCAAAAGTTATTCAGGAGCTTCGGTTATTTTTATGCGTACTTTACGTTAAAAGCATAAGTAAAAAGAGATAAAATAATTAACTTGAAAGGTTTGCTTAGACATGCGAGAAAACAATTATTTCACTTATCAAATTTACGGACATTTTTTTCCGAAAATTTATTTTCTTAGTCAAAACAAATATTTTAACTTTTCGAATTAAGAAAAAAATATAGTCGATATTAAGATAATTATTATTAATTAATTATTAATAGATATTGCTAGAATAATTTTTGTTCATTTTAGGTCAGACGAAAAAAACTTAAGATAAACAGAAAAAGAATTAATTTGGAGAATGACAAACTGGTTTTTTGAAACTTCTTGCTGAAAAAAAAATGTTGATACTTTTCAACACCGTTTAGATTTCTCTTATTTTACTTTTATTTATTATTTTGGTACGATTTATTCATTTTCTTTACATTATTTTTGACATCTAGCCAAATGGAGCATATAAAATGAAAATCTTGAGAGACAAATGTTTTTGCAGCAATGATTAAAAAATTTTATGCAGAAAAAATCTAAAAAAATCAAAAAGCACTTTAAATTGAAGTAACCTTCAAACAAAGTAAAATTTTGAAGAAAAAAAACTTGCTTAATATTCATAAGTGAAATTGGTGACTTCACTTCAAGTTTCAACTTCATAATTTCATTTCATCGGGCTGTAGATCGGTCCGTAGGATCTTTTCTTACTAGTTTAACACTTGGTAATTCATGAGCTGTTCATTTTCTCATAGTCTGGTCATTTTCATATGCACCTTCTTGATTTCAAGTGTCTAAGTCTTATAGTGTTCGTGTTAAAAATAAAATATAACGGGAAAGAAAAGAGAAACGAAAATTCGAAATTTCAAAAAGAAGACATCAGAAAGAGAAAAACAGTTTGTAATAACTTATTATGTGATAACTTTGACCCGACATAGAGTTTAATAAAGAAAAAACTCTAATTTAATTCATAAACAAAACTGACTCTTTTATCTTGTCAAATTTTAACCCTGTAGTTACATTTTCTGGACTGTCGCGACATGCATGGTATTTTCTGATACAAATCTAACAATAATTAACTCTCGATCTGATAATCCCTTCCATCGCACTCTCTACATTTTTCTACACACCTTTATAATTTCAAGTTTCGAATTTTTAGAGTTTTAGCGCAACAAAAAAAAATTTAACGTGAAGTTGGAGTCAAATAGCAGAGGCGGCGCTTATAATTTTTTTTTTTTTTAATATTGAGCAAAAAAAAAAATCGTGAGCTAAAAGTCTTCGCTATTATGTTTCTGTCCTGTTTTTATCTCAATACTACTAACAGTGATATGTTTACCAGGCTTTCTTCACCCCGTAAATAAACTGCTCTACACAAAAATCTCCACGAATTATTCCTATAATTGAATCATGATTTCCATTGTTTTTTTTTTAGTTAAGCTCAGTATGAGTAAGTTAGGGTATTTTATTTAATTTTTACAACGTCGTTAAACAGCCGACCTAATTTTTCGGGTTTACGACTATGTTTAATTCCGAAGCCTTGTAATTTTGAACCCTATCCAAGAGACAACGGAACTTCTGGATCAAATATTGCGAGAAAATTTGGATTCGAGGAGCACTTTTTGATGGAAATAAATCACATATGCTTTACATGTGGAAGAAAACTACGAGAACCTTTCATAGTTAGCCTAACGGTCAGGGAACTCTAACCCATAATATCTAGCACTGAGGATATCTCACGTCAGCTCCGGGGTCGACGCAAGCCAGGTGAGGACTTCGTATCGACCAGCCATCGTAGGGATTCGAACCCGGTTCACCTCATTGGAAGGCCAACCCTCTATCCCTTGAACCATGTAATTAACGCTATGTAGGTACTTTAATATACAATATTATGTGAGAGATGGCACATATTGCTTATTTTCATCTTCGTCAAATCGGATTACGAATTCCCTAACATCGGTATTTTTAATTCATTGGATTCTATAGAGAATTATGAAAATATTTGCTCCAAATTTTCACTATTTCTGATTTCGCTAAAACGGTATTTGACTGTAATATTCTCCCATTGGGTAATGCTTTACCTTCTATTTTTGTCCATGTGTAGTGAGGTTGAGGAGATCCACTGGCAACACAAACTAAGTGAGCCTCAGAGCCCTCAGTAACTTCAACATCGAATGGTTCTTTTAACCAACGCAGGGGAGCTGAAAAGAGAATTTAAAAAAACTCTCGCAATGCAGCTTATTAAACTAAACGTTTCTTTAAATTTATGTAAATTATGTTTAGGTATTAACAAATTATGTTAAATATTACAAATATGTTAACTATTACAAATATGTTAATTATAACAAATAATGTTAATTATTCATCAACAAAATTTATGCTAATTATGATAATCAATGCAGATACATTCATTATTTTTCAAATAAGCTAGTTTAAAATTTCTAGTGAATTTCCATAATTGCAATTACTGTAATTTTTAAAGCAAAACTCATTTTTACAAACGAGGAAAATTTTTCAGTCAATTTCGAAAATAATAATTTAAAATAAAGTATAATTAAATAAGGTGTTTGTTTTTAAATTAAACCAATTGCTCTCCAAAAAAAAAATTGAAATTATTTACATTATGAATGCATTGATTTTGATTCTTCTTACAATAATACATTCGAAGTGTTGACGATATTTAAAACTGGTATTTAATTACTAATTAAATTCTTGATCACACTGCAAAAATCACCTTCGGAGATCGTGAAAGTTGGGAGAAATCCTACAATTAAATAAATTTTATTTCATTACATTTACTACACGAAAAAACTGATTTAGTACAGATTATTGTTTATTTTTAAGTAGAAAATAAAACTTAAGTTATTAATAATTTAAGTGAAATATAAAGTTAAACATAAATTTTAGTATCCGCAGCATGCTTCTTATTATAATAAATTCTAAATTTTAACAGCTATGATTCTGATTCGAAGAGTAAAAATTTAATGAATTCAGCAAAAAATTACAAAAATACGATTTCGAATCTTTAAGCTTTTATACATGCATATTTTACTTACAGATCTTTTATAATCCTTTCTATAAGTTGAATAAAAGAACACATTATAAGGAGTTTAATTTCTTTTCACTTTCTTCATTCATAAAAAAATAAACATTAAGTATTTTATAAGTACTTAACAAAAGACTACATGTTATAAATAATGCAATACCTTCGACAACCAGAGTTGCTGTAGCCGAATCATTTCCAAATGCATTTATAGCGATGCAAGAGTAATTTCCAGCATCATCTAAAGTTACCGGCTCTATGCTGAGGATGCTGGCATCATTCAAGCTTGAAACTTTAAAGTTGGATAAATCAGAAATAATTACTTTATGATTTTTAAGCCATGAAAACTTTATTGGAGTTGTTCCTCCACTTACACAAGCGACAGAAGCTTTGCCTCCAACGTAAATCAATGGGTTAAAATTCATTGGAGTTATTTTTGGTGGTTCTAAAATAAACAATTTAGAAAAACAGCAATTAATGAATAAGAATTTTTATTCTTTGAGTAAATTTAAATAAAAATTTGTTAAATTTTATAAATGCTTTTAAATTCTATAAAATAAAAGTTATTTTTATGTAACTCATAAATCTACTCTTTTCATTGCATGCACGCTTGTAATATTACATATATGGTATACGTAAAATAATTAATGAATGATTTAAGATTAAATAAAATATAGAGAATTATTTAGTAAAACAAGAACAATTCAAATAGTGTAATATAATTTGAGCTATGCTATCGTAAAATTATTGTTATTCTATAAATAAATGCGATTCAATTGCAATCCATAAAGTAAACAGTGAAACTTACAAAAAATTACGATTATGATTAATAAACCTCAAAAAATTCTTTTTACAGAAGGTAATACTTCTTTTAGAAATTGGCAAAGCATTTGGCATAAATTTCTACTTTAAAATGAATACATGCTCAATAAAGATAAGAAAAAAGTAGGCTTACCTTTACAATTTGTTTCTCTGCAAGCGAGAAAAACCAAAAAACAAACACAGCACAAGTATTTTTGCTTCATCATAAGGAATCACTCATATCACATTCAAATATAGAAATTCTTCTGGAACTGACGCTTTGAGATAACTACTATGAATACATCTTAATTCCAAAACATTTTATTAATGCACTTTCGTTAAAATCAAAATTACTTAATATGACAGCGTAGCAGATAGCTAGCGCCACATAACGGATAATAAATAAACTAAAGCATAAAATTTCCTCAATCAACAATACGTGAGTGTAAAACAAGATAATTTGAGTTGTTGAAGTTCAGTATAATTAAGTTTTCATGCTAAAAATTATACACTGGTATTCATTTGTATTGAACATTTAAAGACTGACTTTTGTGTGTTTTGTTACCACGTTTTATACTCTGAATAAAATAATCAATCGGTGTAAATAAAACAAAATCAGCTCTCATACAATATTAATGCATACAAAAGCAATTATGAAAATGTGCGGGCAACAGTTCAAAACTGTGCGCTGTGAGTTTTTTTTAAATTTTTTTATCATGCAACAGATCCATGAAAAACTACATAAATAATTAAAAAGAATGCTTGTTTACATAATATTTACAAATATCTGCAGCAAACAAAATGTAAACATCATTCTTGACATTGTATCTCTCACATCATCTTACCGCGGACAACAACTTTTGCTGATTTTTCGAGATGTTCACCGACACCGTTTTGTACTCGGCAAGTATAAGTACCGGCATCACTTATTTTTGTCTCTTTAAAAGTGAGATGACCCTCCAATGAGTTGATTATAATCCTCTTCTCGTGATTATTATTTGGAAAAAGAAAGTATAGTACGTATATTCTCAGTAAATAGTAAGAACGTATAGATACAATAAGAGTTTTTTTGTTCTACTTAAGGTAATCTTAAGATGAACCACGAATGAATCAATTTGATGAATGAGAGTTCGAGAGTTTTCTTTGATATTTAAATTAAATCTTTCATTTAAAAAAATGTGAGCCTTGATGGTACAGAGGATAGAGCGTTCGCCTTTTAATGTTGTGAACCGGGTTCGAATCCCAATGACGGCTGGCCTATACGAATTCAGCATCCGGCTTGCACCCACCACAGTGCTGACGTGAAATATCCTCAGTGGTAGACAGGTCATGGGTTAGACTCTTTTTGCAGTCAGGTAAACCGTGAGAGGTTTTCGTGTTTTCCTTTTCCATGTAACGCAAATGCTGGTTAGTTTCAGCAAAAAGTCCACCATGAAGCCAAATTTCTCCCATTACTTGATGCAGGAGTTCCCTTGTGTTTTCGAGTTAAACATTAGGAGTCGTAATCCCAAAAAAGTGGGTCGGCAGTTTAACGATGGTTATAAAATTAAAATATAAGTTGTGTAATGCTATATAAAAGGGACCGAGGGTGTGCTGTATTGGTCCTCGTTAAACTGTTTTACCGTAAAGTGCTTGACTTCGCGTGTAGGTCGTTGTGGTACCAAAGCGGGGGTGTCATCCCCTCTCCAGAAAATCAAAATTTTGATGGTATGTTTTCGGATCGTCCTCAGGGATGTTTCACTGACCGTCGCCAATAGCCCATTGTGCAGCTCTAGTGCGACGTAAATAAACTGCTACTACTGCTATATAAGAGGTGGCACATACCTTCTATTTTTGTCCATGTGTAGTGAGGTTGAGGCGATGCACTCGCGACACAAACTAAATGTGCCTCAGAGCCCTCAATAACTTCAACATCGAATGGTTCTTTTAACCATTGTAGGGGAGCTGAAAATAGATAATAAAAATCTTAATCTAAATTTTTTAAAAAAAGAAGCTTAACTAAAATTTAAGTAAGCAGTAAAGTACGGTATGATGAAAGAATACGTTGGTCAACATTCTACCGACCGAACTAAGTAGGGGTCAGAGAACTGGCCTTGCATGGCAAAGGTTCTTTGTTCGAATCCCGAGCAGGGCAGCGATGTTGTTTCATTCTTTGTACTATCTCTCTTTACTGAGGGAGCAACGTTTACCCACCCAATAGGGTGCCCTTGAAAGAGTGGCCAACAAATCTGTCCCATAAATGCCTCAATTGACAAAAGGTTAACACAGGTAGGCATTGGAAACAAAATAAAGAATAAAAGGATTTTAATTGTATGAGAGCAAGATTTCCTAACTTTGAGAGAAGTCTGTATTATTTTAAACGTGAAAGAGTCACAATTAAGCAGTTCAAAATATTTTTCTTATTTTTCCAAATTGCACATTTATTACAGGGTTAAGCAAAAGTTTAGAACACTTTAAGGAAATATACTGTAATTTGATCATTGCACTGCGCTTACATGATCGCAATTAAATTTATTTTTTTAATAAATAATATCCATTTTTTCTATCGAAGGAAATTTCTTTGACAATTCATTAAAAAAATAGTTAGGTAAGATGTAAATTTTTAAACAAAACTTACCGTTCGCGTATTGACAAAACATACCGTAGATTGTAAACGGGTTGGCGAAACTTTCAATTGGCGTTAAACGAACGTTCTCGCAAATCGCCAAACAGCTGTGTGCTTATGTTTTTGCTTCGTTTTTTGGTATCACGTATCTATCATTCACCAAGTTACATATGGGTATGACATTTCAGAGTTTCAAATAAGCTGATCTTCATTAGATTCTTTTGCATTAAATGAAATATAAAGCGTATTTTTTTGTTATAGCTCCGACATAATCGTTTGTATTTGTTAACATAATTGTGTTTATTAGCCATATTACGTCTATCATAGATATCTTTAAGACGTCTATACTTGTTGAGGATTTATAATACCAGATGGAGCTGAGCACAAACAATTTTTTTTATTATTTTTTTTCTGCACTTCTTAAGTTTCAGTTTAGATTTAACCTACTGAACCACAGTGGAATAAAATAATTTGAATCATTTCAATTTGTGTAATTATTGTTGAATTCGAGTTATGGTGCTACACCGGCCGAAAAATAGGCCACCTGCATGAAATATGAGTTAACATTTGTTTTGTTTTGGTCTCCCTTAAGTCGGTAATTTATTTTGATATTTTATTGTATTAATTGTATTGTATTTATTATAGTAACGTGCGAGCTGTTTATAATGGATGATTTTGAAAAATTAAANTTTTTTCTTAATATTTTGCTACCTTTGTTATTTAATAGATGTCGCCACAATAGAAATTATTAATGTTACAAATTATATATATGATATTTTGCTTCATTTGTTATTCAACAGATGTCGCCACAATAGAAAATATCAATATTACAAAATATAAATAATAAAAGTTATATTTTTTTCTTGATATTTTGCTTCATTTGTTATTCAGTAGATGCCGCCACAATAGAAAAGTATTCCTGTATATAGTCGTCAATTAAATTGTTGTTTTGCTAACATTGCAAACATTTCTCTTGAAAATCGGCAGTTATGTAATTTTTTTTTATAAATGTGTAGCCCCAGTTTTTAAAAATGGAGATACACGTTGAAAAACGTTTTGGAATATTGATTTAGTTACAATTTTGATTTAATTATAAAAACGGCATAAATGATGTCTATTTTTAAACTAAGTAATAACGTTTAAATTATACAACTTGCTGAATGCAAATTTTAATGTCCATCTATTGCTTTTCATTTTATAAAATTTCATTTCGCAATAATATTGGTCTTGCAGTGGACTGATCCTAAGGACACGGTTCCCATCGAAGTCAAGCAAAACTGACAGCGGTTAGTAAGAGGGACTACTTTTAACAGCTTACGTAGGGACCGAGGGTGTGCGGCATCGGTCCTCGTTAAACTGAAAGTACTTGACTTCGCTCGCAGGTCACCGAGCTACCAAAGCGGAGGAGTCTGCAAAGGATTAAAATTGTGATGGCATGTCCTCGAATCGTGTCTCGATTAAGGATGTCTCCCAGACTCGTTCCAATAGCCCATTGTGCAGTTCTAGCGTGACGTAGGTAAAATACCCACCTAACTCAATAATTTTGCTGCCTAAAAATATGAATCTTAAAAAAAAGTTTAATTGAACAACAAAACTTCATTTAAATCTTCAAACTTTATGAACTCATTTTCATCATGCGGTACTTTTAAAATTATATCTATAAGTTCGTTAAAAGGATGAATCATATAGTGCTCCTACCCTTTCTAAAGTATTTTCCCACGAAAAATTTTAAAACAAAATGAGAAGCATTTTACAAATTTACGCTCATAGGCAATATAAAAAAATATTATAAATAATACAATACCTTCGACAACCAGAGTTGATGTAGCCGAATCATTTCCAAATGAGTTTTAAGCAATGCAAGAATAATTTCCAGCATCATCCAAGCTGACGGGCTCTATGGTGAGAATGCTGGCGTCTTTCAAGTTTGAAACTTCAATCTTTTGTGTGGGATAAATACTGGACTGTAGTATAGTGATTACTTTTATAATTCATACTAATCAAAGTTTATTAAAAATATAAATTTTTATTAACAGATATATGAAAAATATATAGTAATTCAGCTCTGTTTAATTAAGAAGAGAAATTGACGAAACTACATAAGTAAGGCATGAATATATATACAATTATCCGGCGTGGATCCTCTTACTGTCCCAAGCTTTAAAAGCATTCAACTGTTATACAAGAAACTATAAAATAAATAATTCACACGCATTTTGTAGCCACAAAACAAATATTTTACAGTATTACCTTTATGTATTTCTGTTTTATACAAATTGTAAATGTCAGTGATAATAAAATATTATTTTTAATGGATAACCAACAAGATTATATGCAATAAGATGATAAAAACATCAGTTTTTATGGTGAAATATACACAGAAAGTAAAGAGTTCGAGAAAGAAAATACCGAAACATGATATGTTAAAAAAATGTTTTAATTTTTTTTTTAAAGCTACATGCCTCAATAAATTTTACTTTTTTGGATAGACTAATAATGGAGTAAAATAAAGGTAAAAAAAATATTTCAATATATTTATGCCGCAAAAAGTTATGACAGTTAAAATATTAGTAAAAGTTTAAAAATATCAACTTCATATAACTAAGAGTGCATTAAATAAGCCTTAATTATATAAATAATTTCTGAAAGTGTTTTTGTATATCTTTCAAATGACACATTATTGGAAGGCTCAAGCTATACTTATCGCTGAAAATAGCAACAACAAAAAAAAAACAGCAAAAACGCTTCATTTTACGACCCTCAGTGACCTTGTGGCAACAACTTACCACAAACTTTTCACCCATTTTCCATTGCTAAAGCTCAACATCCTTACTTTTCAGATTTTTTAAATTACTTGAAGGCACTTTGTTTGAGCTAAGAGCTGTGGGTCATGGTAATTTCCACACAC